AATTAAAAAACAGCTGAGCGGGCCGGCCCGGTGGCACACTCAGTAGAGTGCGGCGCTTGGGAGCACAGTGGCGCTCCCGCCGAGGGTTCGGATCCCATATAGAGACTGGGTGGTGTGGGCGCGACACCGAGGGTTGCGATCCCGTTGCCGGTCGCGGTACGGGCGTGACACCGAGGGTCGCGATCCCGTTACCGGTCACAAAAAAAGACAAAAAAAGGAAAAAAATAAAAAAAAAAAAAAACCAGCTGAGCACTGTGCCTTAACAACGCACCTCCAGACATCGTGGACATCAAGCCTGCTAACATGGAGGAGCTGACAGAGGTTATCACAGCAGCCGAGTTCCACCCGCACCAGTGCAATGTGCTTGTCTACAGCAGCAGCAAAGGGACCATCCGCCTATGTGACATGCGCTCCTCGGCCCTGTGCGACAGGCACGCTAAGTGTAAGTGCCTCGCGTCTTTCAGAAATGTCTCCCTTACGTTACTTGGTTTTCAGACACTTCCCCCTCCCAGGACACAGGAGCTTCTTCCTGTTGTCCACACACTGTTTGCATAGGGAGCCCTGTCTCTGTTGCACAAGTTTGGGCATGGTGCAGTGTGGCCCCCTCAGATGAGAGGCATGGTGCGAGGCCGACTTCCTGTGGTCGCACACTGCGGGGTGGGTGCTTTTGGTGTCTGTGTTCATTCCTGAGCAGAGCCTTGGTGCCACCTCCGAGGGATTCCCACGCAGGACCAGCCGGGACCCATTTGTTGCCTCTACCTTTGTGCGGTAGGACTGGGGCTGAGGCCACCAGCACACCTGTCACCTGTGACCATTTTCCACTACCAGGATGAGCTCTGTTCATATGGAGCTTTGCTGGATTGGAAGCCAGTTCCCTGAGGTGAAATCTAGCATTTTAATCCACTGGGCCTTGAAATTCACTCTAGGTGAGGAAAGTTTGGGGTTTATTTTTATCCATAGAGAAGAGTCCCAACTCTAGAAAGCCAGAGTCTGTGTGTCGTGGTATCATGTGACATGCACCTCTGGAACTTTGCTGACCCTCCCCCTGTACTGACCCATGGAACCATGACCCAACCCTTCCTTTACAGGGACGCCACTGGTCAGTGCCTCTGGAGTGTCTCGCCACTGAAGTTCATCAGCAGTGCCTCAATTAAATGTGCTTTGCTACCCATTTCTCAGTCTTTACTGATTCTCTTTCTTGAGGCTAAAATGTGTTTTTAAGAATTCTATACTCCTGTTAGAACTTCTGCAATGAAGAGTAGTGTTTTATAACATTTAGCCCTTATCTTCAAGATGATATTCTTCAGTAAACAGTTTTATATTCCAAGATTAGTTGCATTTGTCACCAAAGTAATGGCTTAAAGTTAATTTCAAATGTGGAGCCAAAAATCATACAGGTGTCTACACTAAGAAAAAAGAGGACAAAAGCTAAAGTTTCTTAAGACAAAGGAAGCACATGTCGCCTGGCCTAAAGTTTACTCAGCTGAAGGCGTGACCATGTGTTCAGTGATCTGTGGACAAGTCAGGGTCCAGAGTGCCTTTCTCTATGACAGGAACAGGTAGAGGGAACTGTCTGAGTTACTGCCAAGGAAGTGCCAGAATCTTCCTGGACATAGGCATCTGTTTGTGTCCCAGTAGAGCATGTCTCTTCAGCACTGAAGACAAAACGCCCTTTGCTGACTAGCTCTGGCTATTGGGGCCTCTGTGTTTGTTACGCTGTGGACACTGCATGGCCATGTTGGGGCAGTGCTCACTCCAGCAGACCCTTCAGAGAGCGGCCACTTCTTTCGAGGCCCTGGTGCGCCATGCCACATGCTCATGTAGTGCTATTTTATCTTCCTGTGATATACACAGGGCAGGGCAGGACCTTGTACACTTGGGCCTAGTGTCATGAGGACATGCAGATGTCCCTGCAATAATGGTCTCCAGTTTTCCTGGCAGTCCAGAGCCTGGGCACACATCAGGACATCCTGTGGAGCTTCTGCAGATCATGGTCACTGGGGCCTTGTCCACAGACATTCTGGCTCAGGATCTGGGTGAGATGTGGTGATCGTGCTTCTGATGACTGTCCCTTGTTAGTAACTGATGCTGGAATGTCTTATCTGAAGCTCGTACACACAGAAGTTAAAGAAGATCAGAAAACTTACAGAAACCAGAAAGATGAGAAGACTTCACAGTATCGAGGCCGAGCCCCGCTCCAGAGTCTCAGTGAAGTGGCCAAGCCCTACTTGAACTTTAAAATGATTTGTTCTCTGATTTTTAAACATAAGCTGAAAACGTTTTATTTTGTTTTTCAGTTTTTGAAGAACCCGAAGATCCCAGCAGTAGGTCTTTCTTCTCAGAAATAATTTCATCCATTTCCGATGTAAAATTTAGTCACAGTGGTCGGTACATGATGACCAGAGACTACCTGTCAGTGAAGGTGTGGGACCTCAACATGGAAAGTCGGCCTGTCGAGACCCACCAGGTCCATGAGTACCTGCGAAGCAAGCTTTGTTCTCTCTACGAAAACGACTGCATCTTTGAAGTGAAGGTGTGGGACCTCAACATGGAAAGTCGGCCTGTCGAGACCCATCAGGTCCATGAGTACCTGCGAAGCAAGCTTTGTTCTCTCTACGAAAACGACTGCATCTTTGACAAGTTTGAGTGCTGCTGGAATGGGTCGGACAGGTAAGGCCTGTGTCGTGACCAGCAGTCACCCTGAGCTCGCTGGTTTCCTCGGTGTCTCCCGCAGGGCCCGGGACTCGTGCCCAGAGTGGAAGGCCAGTGAGGGCCACCTTCAGAAAAGGAGGCGAGCTGTCGTCCGGAGCTGCGGAAGAGGAATGCGGATGGTTTGTTTCCAGGCCTTCTGCTTGTTTGCTAGATGGCAGTATCGAG